CTTCGGCTTCTCGAGAATACTCTGGGTCAAATTCAAAGGGACAGATTTTTGCGACTTGAGAATATTTGACTTAGTCCCTAGCCCATTTATCATCTCATATCCTAAACTGCTCACACTAGTATAGGGTCACGGTCGAGCCATTGAACAATCAGCGAAAGTGCGTCACTGATCCAAGATAATTGATTTAGTCTGAGGGATCAACAATGTACGAAGTATGAGATGAGTTAGACCTGTGAAAAAACATTCACCTGATATTGAATTTTGTTTTGATTTCATTTAAGCCGATCAGGCACCCTATGGGTTCACGCAGGCGACTATCGTCATTATTCACAAAGGAGGGAACCAATTTGGTGAAATCACCCTGATCCTGCCTGTTTACATCGCTATAAATTTGTGTAGATACCTTCAGGAACTGCAGTTTACACTTTTCAGCCAGTGTGGATTCCGTCCTCTCCCCTTCCAGATCGATTTATTTTATCCGACACCGCTACCTCGACTTCCCCTGCAAGTCAAAACTCTTTTATCTATTCTTTACTTGGCATCCACTGTGTGATTCTAGCCATATATTCTGGGCTGTTGATCGTTGCTTCAAATTAAAGTTCTGGAGGGATCGGGAATGATAGAAGTGAACGGTGACCGTCAAGTCAGTACTGTATGAATCGAAATATATTGGAGACTTCGGGATCAGAGACAAGAGGTTAGGATCAGGGAGGGTTTTGGGGTTTTTTGACGAATTTATATTTGTGAAGAGTATCAGGTTTTAATCTTCATTTAATTATCTATCCATGTTCCACCTGGATTAGGTAGAAACATTATGTTCTGCTAATGTGATGGAATAACATTCCCACCACCGACATTATTACCAACTGAAACTTTACCAAAGCTGGAAGCGATCGAAGATGAGTAGTCTTCGTCTACTCCGCACTGCGTACCGTTTGGTCTGGTATATCTAGATTTCAACGCAAATGACCTGTCTAGCTAGTCAGACAGCGTCGCCTGTTCCACTTGCCCACTGCGGACACGCAGACACTATGTGCTGAAAGTTTTGCGACGGATATCCACATTGGCAGCTTGGATTCCTGATCCGAGTACTTTTCTTCTGTACAGGTAAGAATTGAGCTCGATATGCTTGCTTCTTAGCTGAATGGCGACCCTGCTTTAGGCCCTAATTAGGTTTCGATGGATGTTTAAGGATGTGTCTTTGAAATTCATTTGGGTGCTGCCTGTTTGTTCATCAGTAGAAAATTTGTCCCTATCCAAAGTTCTGGATGGCCTGATACTGGTCGGCCAGGCCGCTGTTTCATATTCCGGCTTTTCCATGAATTCTTCTACTCCCGTAAGCCTGCCATCCTTCCAGCTTCTTTCTGCCTTTATATTGAATATTACAGATTGGGGAAGGTTATCAGAATTCAGTGAGCTTGCTAAATTTTTAATTTACTTTTCCTATTCAGGTAGCCTGTGGGCCCATGGGGTGCCTACAGATACTATATTGCTAAAGGAGTAAGCCATTCGAGTAATAACACCTCAATCCCGCTTGTCTAATGTCCCCGAATTCGAAAGTTTTACTACGGAAAGTAAGATTACGCTGTTCATCCAATACAAATTTCGTCCTATGTTTTCCCTAGTCGATGCAATATCTAAGATAATGTACCTCATCTTTTTATGAAAGTCAAAATTGTTCGAAACAGCATTAGTCTCAGATGCACTTCAAATACTTTTGGTTTATTGCGAGATTTTCCCCATAGCCTAGAAGGATTTCTTTACCAGCCGCCACGATCTTCTTCCACTTCGCCCCCTTAGTACAAGCTTGTAACACGTATTTGATGTTTTGTGACTAGTACGCACATTGTCATCTTGAGTTAGCAACTCCAGGAACTTTCCCAGGGTACAAACTAGAGTGGATCCTGATTTTGTTATGGAAGAGGAGAAATACGGATGCCGCACGTATACAACCATGAGGAGTTGATATTTTTACATATATATTTAGTACGGGACATAAGTTGCATTAAATATACCTTTCTCCGCCACCAGTGATTCAGTTTCCCGACATGAATTCCTTCGCTACTCTGAGTGATCTATTTTTTTCATTTTAATGTCCTGTCTGAGTCTTTGACTATGTGAGGGCTAGCAGATTCTCTCCGCCTCCAGGATAAGGATACATGTGCCGGTAGTATATCCCCTCCTGTGCCTCCTATACAGCCTCGTTCCATCACACATGTAGCAGAGCCCTTCGCCTTCATTATCTCCCCTTTCTAGCCTTCTAAACGATGACAATTTGCAGGTGTATGGCAGCTAGGAAAAATTGCAAAATCCACTGGGTGCGGGGCTCTCCTTATATGGACATTAGGTCTAGATCCGAAGACAAAGTGACCCTTCCGAAGCGTTCGAAGAGGCCGGCCAGCTGGGCGCTGGAGACTTATGGGTACCTCGGGAAATTTACTCTCTGCCTTTCTAGCCTCCTTCCCGAAGGTCGTGCTGAAATGTCAGAAAAGTCATGGCAGATCGTGATTGCTGTTTGGTAGCTTGGCCCAACTTCTTTTGGGCCGTCCAGGGCGCTGAGGAGTGCAGTTGACTCATCGACAATGGAAATCCTCCTGGCCGATTTGCCGGAATCTTGGTCTTAGCGCCCACGAACAATCCAAAATTTGTTTGTGTTTGTGTTTATTGTACTACTTGTGTCTATGACTGTCTAGCACATTGGGCTCCTCTCTGACCAAGGTCACACCTTGTACAGTGCTCCTTTCCTCTTTTGTTATTTGTGAGATCATTGATATATTCCCCTTGATGAATTGCCATTCAGCTCAGTGTTTACCTGCGAAATTCGGCCACCTTTTCCACGGAACCTTCTACCCAAAAAAAATGGTTGCAATGGAGACTGCGTGCGCGGGAAAAAGTTTCGAGAAACCTGCAGCCCCAGCCAGTCGGGGCCTAGACACCGGGACCACATGAGGTACGCATATTCATCTATATCTCCCTTCTTTGTAACAATCGAGGCCGACTTGATCCAATCCACCATCTCCGTATCGGGTACTGGGTAGGCTCCAGAAACTCATCGGATGGCTTTTCCTCCATGATCAAGCGTTGGTGATGAGTAGGGCTCCGACCCTACCATCTGATCTGATGGTGGTTAGCTTCATGATAATGGTGTTAGGGGGGTTATGCTTAGGGATGAAGACGATACAGACCACAAAAGCGATTAGGAACCCTCATCAAAGTGAGGCCGGTGTTACTCAATCTCGGCACCGCAGACTCTACAGTGATATCTGAAGGCTCGCATGGGATACCACTGACAGGTGTTGAGAATAGTCCCCTTCAAAGAGGGTGTTTAAAGGTGTATTTTCGTATTTATTTGGTCCCTGACCTCCAAGCAAACGCCGATGTCGAATTTCGTACTTGTTGGAAGAGACAAATCATAGCCCACTAATATGGGAGGCAGTTTCATGGTATGGACGTGAGAGAAATCTGGATAAGGTCACAAGATGATGCAGAGGATGAATACAATATCGGTGGGTATGATATTTCAAACATTGGCAAGGATATTCACAAATCGAGCATTGGGCATGCAAAGATTTCGGCTGCAAGAGTTCGGCTGGCACTTCACAAACAAGGCAATGAAGGAAAGTCTCGTGTTCCGCCTCCTGGTGGTGTTCCCCGGTATAGTTTGAGCAGCCTGAGCACTTACTTCACATGGGAAGGAGACACACAAGACCATATTGCGCGTAGAGAAAAGCCAATGGCTAATGGAGGCAGGTCTGGACAACTAAGGGTTTTTGAGACGTGCCCCTAGGTGGGTATTCAAGGATGAGGGTTGATTTGGGGTGAAGGAAAAGCGACCTTAACTTCGCAGTGGTACTTGTAAATGAAATCCGAGGCATAAGTGCTCCTCTTGTAAATTGAGTCATCTTTTCTGTACTTTTTCTTTGAAATGATGTCATAGCTATATAGCTGGATACGGGATTAAGATCCGATATAAAAAAAAAGTCCAACACTGTTGTAGGATGTGGGCTCCTACAGGATTGTACGTTCCAATTCCTGTTAGATACAAGGTTCTCCAATCTCTATTTTCCAGTCTTCTGCATGTGAATGGTCTGCTTGCATTAGACTCTTGTCGTGAGGATGATTATTCATACTGGCGTTAGTATTAACTAGCTTATTTCTCGGTCAAGGATAAAAAGACTCAAAATTTCCCAAGTCTTTAAATTTATTTTTAAGCTAGTGAGAAGTTCATTTATCTACAATTTGATCTAACTAGTGACTTAAATCTGATAGTCCGATTGCAAATAATTATTATGATTTGGGTTGAAATGGCTAAACGAATTAGCGCGCCATAGGCTCGTGAAAGTATTTATAATATGATTGTTCCTAATACTTCCTTCGGAAAGCCTCAATTTGTTCTTATGCCGCCTTTCTAAGCCTAATGCATCCAAAAGATAGTGCGGTCATGCAATAATTCCATCCATGTTTAATTATTAGACCATTTTCATAAAAGTCAGTTGTTATATCTTGTTGATTTCCACATACGGCTTTTCACATTCCAAGTCATTTAGAACGACCATGTCCAGCCAGAATATAGTGTCTACTGCGCATTGCATTTCATGCTACTGGATATGTTTGTTGTATCTTCAAGAGAATTGTCATAATCTTTCCCCGATCCCCTGCTTTGAATCTGTGATATCGATGATTTAATACTTTATTTTAATTCGCGTTTTGAGGTTTATCGCAATATGTTAAGCTTGGACAGTAAATTTAGAGATTTTTTCTGATCCTGAGCATGTTTTTAATTTCAATTGTTGTTTAGTTTGCAGGAATGTCACACCATAAGTTATGACAAGTAGTTCTATAGAGCTCACAAGCTTACACCTGTGTCTCGATCGTAGTTTAGAATTTATTCCGTTTGGTTGGCTTTGTCAGCTGAGATATCATCTTATTCGTTTCCCAACTTCTAGGACACTTTTTGTCCTATACAGTTTTACAAGTGAAGATACCGTGTTGCTTGACCCTTACTTCTCAGGAGCATCTGGTAGCCTCTCAATGACATACTTTCCTCTTGCTACACTCATTATTGGTACACCTGGTATTTTCCTCACTCTTCGTTTGAGGTCACGGTCGTTTGTCGCAACTATATAAATCTTGCTCTTCATAACCCTATCAACTAAGCAATCATCTGCATAGATTCCTTTATGGTCGCACTGTAACCTCTCCCATCTTTCATCGCGCGCAATTCGTAATGCTATCCTGTACCGTGAACCGAGCTTCTCTAATTCGGCCATAACACATGAGGTGATGATAGGTATACACTTTGCGTACAGAGTGTCCATGAGAGTTTCGAGGAGAGGAAGCTTGCGCTGTACGGTGTGAGATAGAAAATTGGTATCCACTAACACAGAATACGGGGGCACGAGAGCTGTATTGTATTGAAAAAATAGTGCGGAGGAGACTTGAGGCCTGGAATGATTTAGGTGGTGGCTTTTCACTTTTGAAGGTATGTTTCACGTACACTTGCCGAACTACCTCCTTCTCTTTGTTTTTTTCATGCGTTTCAACTTTTGCTTGGTTTTTCTTTAGCCGTGCGTCATTCTGCCCGATAACTCTTTTGACCTTGTGATGTTAGTTGACTATGATCACTATTGGGGATGTGACTCACAGCCCCGAATTTTCGAGTTCTCTTTGCGACACCCATCTCGAGCCTAAGAATTATTTTTTGGTATAATAAAACTTTTGGCGCCTCGTTACAATTTTTATACCCACCGGAGGCTTTCTGTAGATTGTAAAAATTTATAATCTCTCAGGTGGCGTACTGAGAGGGTAGAATTGTCTCACTGATCTTACTCTTTATTTAAGAGTAATAAATCTGGAGTGTCTGTCAAATTCGGGCCTGCGGTCGTTCAATTTGCCAGTGAGAACTTCGTATAGGTTATTTCCAGTCCTTGCATACCGACGCGAATTAAGTTACATAATTATTGAGGCTTAGCGTGGAGCTTTACTAATCAATGAGTCGGTGGATCATGAGTACGCAGCAACCGTCGGCCGTTAAAAATAATTTTATCATAGCCTGATTTGGCGCCTTATGGGCTCATGCAGATGTCCAAGACCTCTATTGTTTAAACGGAAGGAAACCAATGTGATAAAAATTCCTAGAACATTTCAATTTGTCTACACTTAGATATAATGTTACCTTCAAGAAGTGCACTAACACAGATATGTCCAGTGCGGATTCTGTGTAAAGGGACGAGAATCACGGACGCTGCACGCAAAGGCTGTCACAAAATAATCTATATTTTCTATGAAGAGAACACTTCAGTGGGACAGAGCCAATGTAAGGTGTGTGCTGATGACCACCTTACATAAGCACTTACTAAGCGTCTAACCTGTTGCAATAGACAGGCCTATTTGCCACATCCCACTTACATGCAAGGCTGGGCCAGTAAGCCAGCCCAGCCAACTAACACCGGGTAAAACCCGTAACATTCTGTCCTATTCCCGGTCGTAGAAGTTTGTCTTCTACCTTCTCTTATTGTCGCTTCTAATTCAAATGTCAGGCGAAACTGTTCTAGCCGGCCTTCACGCTAGATCCAACTAGTTATCCTTGCTACATCTTTTGAATTATTCACGATGGCCTCAAATGACCGGTTTTCTTCCTGTCTCGGTATTTCTCTTTTGGCCTAGCTGGTGCAGGCCATGACCATGGGCTTCACATTCTGGGACAGATATCCACATTGGCAGCGTGGGCTGTCTACTCTTGGAACTTTTCTTCTGTGCAGATAGGAATTGAAACCGATGTGTTCGCTTCTTATCTGCATGGCTATATTGCTCCGGGCTAACAACCGCTATTGTTTACCTTACAGTGATTTTCACATTAATGTCAGCGATATCTCCTACGAACCTCCCACCTTCACAGTAGAGTCTGCAGGGCCGAGACTGAGTAACACATTTCCTCGTTGTATCATGACACGCGCCACCCATTTGTGGGCAAACAAAATGCTCCCGAAGCCAAAGTAAAAGAACCAGTCGCCGACAAGAAAAGCAGATTTTGACTAGTCAACCATGTTATTTCTTCTAACAATTAACACCGAATTTACTAAGCAGGATAGCATCCGAGGTATATAAGTTGCCAGAAAACCCAACGTCCATATAATGACTTATGGATGCTAGGTTAAGATCCTGCACGACAGTCACACTCCACTAAGAGTCTTTTGAAAGTCTTACACGACCTTTGGTTTATCCTGCAGCACGAATTTGACAGAAGTTAGGAGACTAGGAAGGTTGGGAGGCGCTCTTAGCCACACATAGGTCTACTGTTGTCAGCTTACCAGTGTCTTCGAACAATTTAGAAGTGTAGCTATACCTTCGGATTTGGTCCCGATGCCAGTATTTTGAGTGCCCTGCACCCGGCTGTTTCCGAGACTTTTCCCTGCAGCTATATAGAGACAAATGGTTATCATATCAACGGCTAGAGATGGGAGATGTCGATATGATAACGGATCCTGTAAGTATATATTCAAATGAAGACTTATGGGGGTATCACTGCTGGAAAGAAGTCGTGTTGGATGGAAACGAGGGACTATACTACTCGAGTCATAGATACTCCCTGCCTGTAGACAGAACGGACTTACAAGCCCTTATACAGCCACAGACACATGAAAAGAATAAACGCAAAACAAAATAGTAGTTAGGCGACGATTAACTCTCACAGATTTTCGGTTAGCTCAAATTCTCAATCCAAAATCCAATGTAGTACCAGGGTCCCCCAAAAAATAGAATAGAATTAAATTTAAGTTCCTACTGAGTCTATGACTATTAAAAACCGCAAAAATCAGTTAACATGCTTCAACAATTTACTTGTTTTAATATAAGGCTTATTTTCAACATTTTCCAATTAACACTGAGGGTTTAGCCCTAGGTAGGGACCTCCGAAAGACTTAGTTCGAAATGCATATAGTTTTCTCGTTTCATATCTAATACGATGTAAAGACAGACATGAGAGAGGGTAATAAAGGATTCCTTCAGGACTTTACTAACTTCTGTGCAGATTTTGGCGAAATGCTTCGACGCAAACTTGAAGCGGATATACTGTGTTGCTCATTTTCGTAACGAAGGATACCTACAATAGATAATACATGGTCTAAGTAAATAATATTTACACCTATCCTGAAGCAGATGTTTATGGTCTATAATTCATAGGACAAAGGGAGACAGTATTTTCTGATTCAGGCAACTGACCAGTTTTTCGAAGCTTTATTGCAAACTTCATAAAATTTGGTATGAATCATGAAGTGTTCCCAAATTCACTGAGTATGATAACAGCTAGCAATGGACGGGAGGTTCAAAATATGTTCCGGGAAAGCTTGTTGATTGCTAACAAATTCAACAAAATAGGGTCAATATGCTGCAGCACTCGTGATCGATACCCAAAAGTTCTTACTTCAATGAGGGTTCCCAAATGATTCGTGGTCTGTATCGTTTTTATCACCAAGCGACTCCCCTATCACCACTATCATGAAGCTAACCACCATCAGATCAGATGGTAGGGTCGGAGCCCTACTCATCACCAACCCTTGATCATGGAGGAAAAACCATCTGATGAGTTTCCGGAGCGTACCCAGCACTCGATACGTAGATGGCGGACTAGATCAAGTCGACCTCGACTGTTACAAAGAAGGGAGATATAGATGAATATGCGCATCTCATGTGGTCCCGGTGTCTAGGCCTCGACTGGCTGGGGCTGCAGGTTCCATGATACTTTTCCCTGCGCACGCAGTTTCCATTGCTACTATATACATATATATGTATTTTTTTGGTAGAAGGTTCCATGGATAAGATGCCTGAATTCCACGGGTAAATACTGAGCTAAATAGCTATCCATCGTGAGTACCATATTAGAGATCTTTGATCAACGAATGAGATTATGGGCAATATAATATGTAGCCTGGGTCAAAGATGAGGCCAATGTCCCTAATAGCCATAGATATAAGTATTACAATAACCACTAAAGCCAGGATAACGAGTCTCACGTTTGCTGTCACGCTCATTGACGCAAACAATTGGGGTCCTATAACTTAAATTTTTCTCGCTGCAATTTCGGCAAGATTTAGAGGATACTTTAGCGCTGGCGGCGAGAAGGATGATCAGCACTCTAAAGACCTTTGATTTTTGGTAACCTATCTGATAAGATTTTGACGAGAAGACTTTAGATTACAAATAGTCGAGATCGGCTGTTAATATGGGATAGGACGAGTTGGAAGATGATTACGGCATTTTTGCATCTTGAAAATTGCTGGAAGTGCTTTTATTCGAACAATATAATAAATCTAGCCCCTCTTCGACAGGCTCATACTGGTTTCCGAATCAAAAGCTAATCAAATGTAAAGTATGAGTTAACGAAGTAATGGAAGTGTTTCCCTGCCATCGTTCTTTTAAATCTGATACCAGTTGTACTGATTACAAGCTCCTTATTTCATTGCTTGTTGTTCTTAAGCTAGTCGGGTCTAGATCAATCAGATGCACGCGACACAAACAGTACGTAGATGGATATGTGCTACAAATCGCCATAATTCCAGGGTATCATATTCATTGGAAGATTTCTATAGGCTAGTGAGGAGGACAGTGGCTTGCCATCTTTAGAGCCGTTTATTTTCCGCGAGGTAGCCAAATGAGTATCTTTTACTGAAAACCGCGTCTTCAAGCTCCACAAATCATTTCCCTAATTCATCTAGCCTCAAATTGTACCATCCTATGTGCAGTATCAGCTATGTAACCAATACTACCTTTGGATGGATATTTGCCTCTTAGTCCGCTCTTTGTACAACACTCGGTGACCACACTCTTTGCAGCGAATAGGGTCGCCTCTTTTCAATGGAATCTTAGCATTGCAATCTCCACATAGATAATTTATAGCTGGGCCTTCAATAGGAACGTTATTTTGTAAGTCCCGGCCGGGAATAGGGACCGGCATGGGCACTTCGTAAGTCTCTCGAGACATTATTCGACGGAGCCTAGCTGTAATTGTTGGTAGATTGGAAGAAATACAGAGTATTGGAGAGTGGAGGTTATTTTAATTTTCCTTGTCTTTCGGGACGTACAACTGCTTCTAAAGGCTTTAAGAGGTTGGTTATGAGATGGGTAGATTTGAGCGAGAGCTTACAGGGGACCGCGACTGTAAGTGTGCATGTGACTACTAAAATTGAAGCCAGCAACTCGCTTATCACCCATTATGTGACTGGTCCACTATCATTATTTTTAATCATTTAATGTGTAGTTGTAAGCAGAGTTATGCAAGCATAAGTCTGGATCCAGTCCACTAGAAAGATTACGACTTACTTACAGACACATAGGACTAATGATGAAGCCCAGGGGCCTGATTAAGGGTGGGATTTTTAATTTTTGCATCAGATTTTGATTGCGAAGGCAGCTATCTGGCTATGACACAATGTCAGAGAAAAATTACGGAAAAGACGACTCAATATACAAATAGAGCACTCATGCCCCGGATTTCATTTGCAGGTACCACTGCAAATTTATGGTGACTTTTCTTCAATAAAAGTCAACCCTCATCCATGGATACCCACCCCGGGGAGCGTCTCAAAAACACTGATTTACCCATATATGTCTCCATCCATTGACAAGTCTCGGCGCGAAATTAATCTCAAGTTTCTCGTCCTATGTGAAGTAGGTGCCAAGGCCACTCAAAATATACCAGAGAACAGGGGGACTATTCTCAACACCTGTCAGTGGTGTCCCCTACGAACCTCCAGCTCTCACTGTAGAGTCTGCAGAGCCGAGTTGAGTTATAAAGTCCTCACTTCGAAGAGGATTCCCAATCGCTTTCGCGGTCTGCATCGTCTTCATCCCTCAACAAACTTCCTTATCACCATTATCATGGAGGAGAAGCCATCTGATGGGTTTTCGGAGCGTACCCAGCACCCGATACGGAGATGGTGGATTGGATCAAGTCGGCCTCGACTGTTACAATGAAGGGAGATATAGATGAATATGCGCACATCATGTGGTCCTGGTGTCTAGGCCTCGCCTGGCTGGGGCTGCAGGTTTTTTTGAGACTTTTTCCCGCGCACGCAGTTTCCGTTGCCACTTTTTTTCATATACATTTTTTTATATATTTTTTTATGAGAGGGTTCTGTGGAAAAGGTGGCTGAACTCCATGGGTAAACACGGAGCTGAATGGCAATTTATCAAGGGGAATATATTAATGATCTTTCAAGTAACAAAAGAGGCAAGGAGCACTGTACAAGGTGTGGCCTGGGACAGAAATGAGCCCAATGTGCTAAATATTCTATGACTCAAGTAGTACAATAAACATACCTCTCCTTCTCTATACCAGAGAACACCACCAGGTGGCGGACCACGGCACCTTCCATCGTTGACTTTTGTTTATAGTGCGAGCTGCAATCTCAAGAGCGAAGTCTTTGCACCCACAAATCTCAATTCATAAAACTCCTTGCCAAAATTCGAAATTTCAAGCCCGTCGAGAATGTATCCCTCTTCTGCATCATTTTGTGAACTTATCTTGATCGCTCTCACATTTATTCCAATGAACTGTCTTCCATATTTGTGCGGCACGCTATGCTTTCTCCTGCGGATATAAATGTCAGCATGGGCGTGTACTTTGTGACCGGCTGAGGCCAGAGAAAGTCGACGAGAGGTGTGATCATTGGAATGAGGATGTACTTGGTCGTACTTGTAGACTTGATGAGGCTTAGATAGGAATCGTATTCGTTAGGAGTGAAAGATTGACATGGTGGTGTAGTTTGAATCATTGTCTCTTGGGCCAACTTCTTTGATGTTGCGAAATTTGACTGAACTTCGCTCTGGAAGAATATTTCACTCTCAGGTTCGTAGGATGCACCGCGTACAAGTGTTGAGAGTTGTCCCGCCATCGTAATCCTGAGTATCAATATGAGCTGCGATTATACAATATGTTTGCGTGGGTCGATATCAAGATAGAAATGTTAACAAGCTGCATACGCCATGAAAATCTGATGCGAAAAAAAGAGCTTTGCTGGGTGACATTAGGTTTAGTCGTATACAAACTTCGCTGTCTGGGAAATTCTTTTCTGCGACAATTAAGTGGCTGGTTGTTGCCAAGGCACTGGGAGTTCTGGATCACTAAAGCTCTGAGAATTTGTATCTAAGGATAGAGTTATTTTTGACTAGTTGAACTAAATTAAACAGTTACGACGTCGCCTCTAGATACTCTCTTCTCACAGCCAATCTACTTCCTTCATCTCTACATTAGAGCTGCCTTCATGCCGCTTCCTCTTCTCGTGATTTAAAGGAATGTTATAAATTATTATTTCACATTGAGAGCAGAGTTTCGATATCCTATACAACTGTCTATAAAGTCTTGTCACTTCCAGGCAAGAACTGGCATTGGGAATGTAAAAGCATATTTACACCAAATTGGAAAGACTAAGGATGATATCTGCAATTTCTGTGCAGGTGTTTGTGTGTGTTTCTTGTGCTACTTGAGTCTATGACTATCTAGCACATCGGGCTCCTTTCTGTCCCAGGCCACACCTTGTACAGTGCTCCTTACCTCTTTTGTTACTTGAAAGATCATTGATATATTCCCCTTGATAAATAGCCATTCAGCTCCGTGTTTACCCGTGAAATTCGGCCACCTTTTCCACGGAACCTTCTACCCAAAAAAAATAAAAATGGTAGCGATGGAAACTGTGTGCGCGGGAAAAAGTCTCAAAAAACCTGCAGCCCCAGCCAGTCGAGGCCTAGACACCGGGACCCCATGAGGTGCGCATATTCATCTATATCTCCCTTCATTGTAACAGTCGAGGCCGACTTGATCCAATTCACCATCTCAGTATTGGGTGCTGGGTACGCTCCGAAAACCCATCAGATGGCTTCTCCTCCATGATAATGGTGATAAGGAAGTTTGTTGAGGGATGAAGACGATGCAGACCGCGAAAGCGATTGGGAATCCTCTTCGAAGTGAGGACTTTATAACTCAACTCGTCTCTGCAGACTCTACAGTGAGATCTGGAGGTTCGTAGGGGACACCACTGACAGGTGTTGAGAATAGTCCCCCTGTTCTCTGGTATATTCTGAGTAGCCTGGGCACCTACTTCACAAGTGAAGGAGACACCTAAGACCACATTTCACGCGGAGAAAAGTTGATAGATGACAGAGGTGTGTCTGGATAACTCAGGGTTTTTGAGATGTTCCCCTGGGTGGGTATTCACGGATGAAGGTTGACTTGGGGTGAAGAAAAAGTTACCATAACTTCGCAGTGGTACTTGCAAATGAAATATGAGGTATGAGTGCTCCTTTTGTAAATTGAGTCATCTTTTCTGTACTTTTCTCTGATATGCTGTCATAGCCAGATAGCTGCATACGCAATTAAAATCCGATGCAAAAAAAAAGTCAGATAAATTGTCATAGCTAAATGGCTGATTACAAAATGAATAAAAAAAAAGTCTTGTCACACTACAGATACTATCACAGTGTCCTTCATAGTCATAGACTCAGTAAGGACATAAATAAAATTCTATTCTATTCTATTCTATCACAGTGTAACACTTGCCTAATTTAGCCTAGCTTGGTAAGCGGGCCCACATCTCTGGGCCCGCCGAGAATGGGAATCATCATATACATTTATCATACACACGTCTACCAAGTCTTTTCCGAAATTGTGCACTTGTTCTTCGAGATACTTCTTCCTAAAAATCTTGACAATTTCTAACAGAAATCCATGGCAAGGGAAATGGAGAGGGTGGGCTAGCGCTTCACTAATGTTTGCAGACGTGGAAATTAAGCACAATACTGATAGATTTTACGTCTGCTGCCATTCTCAGGCTGATTTTATAGAAGGCAGAGTCTCGCAGGTTTTGATATCTCACGGTTAATATTTGACTGAATAACGATACATGGAGGATCTTGAGCTGTTCCAGTATGCTGTTAACATCTGGCCTGTACTTGAGAATGCCAATTAGATTTATATCAGAGTCTAATCTGAGTCTATAACTATGGAGGACTTCTAGAATCTACCTGATGGAAAAAATGTGTTGCAAAGGTCAGAGTTTTCGGAGGACTTCTTGGCTGAAGGTTTTGGGATGATTAATGATAAACCATTGTTGTGCAGAAGCTGAAACTAAGACAGCGGCCAAATTTTACCAAAGTAGAGAATCTGAACGGCAAAAACTGAGTCATCAATACTCACCATTCTTTCTACATCGAAATCTGACAAGGGCCCAAATTAGTTTGGCACTGCAAGTTCCTAGCGAGCACATGGGGCTCAACTCGTATTTACATGGAAGAAAAGTTCCTCGAGTATTCAGTCTGGGCTGTCAATATGGCTCCCAATCGCAGAACCCCAAGCATGTGATTATTTCCTGCCCCCTATGGTCAAGTGTTGGAGCGAGGATCTGGATAGTAGCTCGAAACCGGACATACGAAGGCATGACAAACAACCCAGGGGACATGAAAAGCATTACATAGTGAATTTTCAATTATGGTTGGATAGAGCTATTCTAGATGACAAAGGCGGTCGAAATGCTGCCGATGGAAAAGAACAGTCAAGCAACTCCTGGGGTTGATCCAGGGGATGTGGTTGACTTTTATGGACGGCATTACAGCGTAATCGTGCTTCACGAAGGTTAAATTGCAAAATTTCAAGAAATAAATTAGAAAGCTGATGAGGTTTTTGCAGAGAGTGTTATTCTTTCTCCAAGAATGGAGTCGTTTGGCAATTCAATATGAAAGTGGGCAAGCCGTAGGGCGTTTGTTGTATAAGCGATTTTTTAATCTCTTCTTTCATATACTTACTCGGCCTAGAAAGATGGACGGATAGGTAGAAGTGAGTCTTCAGGGATCACTTACCCGTATCATGTCTCTTGGATGGAGGGCTTTTGCCTCATGCGAATTAATGCATAGCCCTAGTACCAACTTCCCGGAAACTCTGGACCTGTGGTAGGACGCGACTAAAAGATGCGACTGGACTGAAACGGTGAC